GCTAATGGCCCAAGAAGCGCATTGATATCCAATGATGAGGGTCCACGTTTCTTTGATATTGAAGTGAAACCCTGGCTTGGCATGTGTTTACGCCAGAATACGATGTAGTAATATTGATCCGCATCAGTCTCGATTAAGGCTACGAAATACTGCACTAGAAGTTATATTTGTACACACTTACATCCAGCTCCTCATGTCTGGCCGATTTATCGGAAACTCGCCGATCCCAATCTGGTGATCTGCCGTACTTACCCCGGCTTGGGTTCCTTAGCATCAATTGACAGCACTTTCAAATGTGTGCTCTAAATAACTCAAAGTATACCAACAACTAGCTCAAGGCGCTTATACCGACATAACAGCGCACATGTTCTCCATTTGGTTAGAAGGCAAGGTGCCATCAATACCGACTGGTCTAGACGGCTACCAGTGCTTACAAGGGCCTGTTTCGCAAGGTTGTCCCTCCTTGTCATCTGAAGCAGCAGTCCCGTCAGGCCGAGGTTCGTAGCGATGAGCTAGATGACTGGCTGGCTGACGCGCTCAAAGTGCTAGGGGTTATCGTCATTCACATGGTGTTTTGTGGCGTATACACGTAAGGCGTTGGCGAACCTGGCGACCTCTTGGCCGGTTAGCTTTGCCTGCACGCGGCCACAAAGACGTTTCCAAAACTCGTGAGATAGTTGGAGCAGCCGCAGCTCCCTGAGAGGTTTGCGAAACGCTGCTTGATCATCACCGCATTGCCGCCGAATCATGCTAAGAAACTCGTGAGATAGTTGGAGCAGACGCAGCTCCCTGGGAGGTTTGCGAAACGCCGCTTGATCATCGCCGCATTGCCGCCGAATCATGCTCAAAAAGACAGTCCTATCGAAGGGCATATACGCGTTCCTGTACTTGATCTCCATCCCCTTCACCTTTTTATCGTAGTAGAGAAGTTTCTGCAGAATAGAAAGAAGCCTCCTACCACAAGGATATGGAACCCGCCAAGGACTCCTCGTTTCTATGCAGAAGTGCCTCGCGGAGACGGTCGTCGATCCAGGACAGCTGGCACAGTTCAAGCATGCTTTTCTCGCTGATGATCAGGTGCTGAATATCCTTCAGCTTCTTCTGGAGCTGGGCCTTGTCGACGGCGGAGAGCGGCCTGAAGCCCTTGTTGATCGGGAGGTGCAGCAGCGAGTGCAATATGGTGCCTGATATAAGATTCACTGCGATGCCCGTCGGTGCGGCACGCTAGACGGGTGTCCCTCTCCCGCCTGTCGCGGCCTAGAGGTGCAACAAGAGCAGGTTGATGAGATATGACTTGCCCGTGCCCCGCCACCATCCACATCGAGTAATGTCACACACACGATTGTATGGGACAGCTTGGGCAAAACGAGAGACTCTTGATTTCCTACATAAAGAGTGGAATAATACGAAACTAAATACTTGTTGTAATATGCCAGGCAGCAGTATATCAATGACTGTTGCCTTGAATTAGCGACTTGACCTTGACAAGTAACGACTGGGAACGGCCCTGGGCCAGAAAGTTGCCAAGCGCCGTGTTATACACTTTGCGATGCTCCGGATTCAGGACGCGTGCTCCCAAGGGCTGATTCTACACATCAAGGTGAAAAGAGCTTTCCACCTTGCGCTGCTTCCAGTAATTACCGCTGACAATACTGTCATTAGTGTACTGTCCAACGTGAGGTGTCCGGTCATAATTCACGCCGATATATCGCCGGCCAAGTACTCCCGCGGTCGGTCTGGCAGCATGTGCGCTAGTTCATGCCAGTCCTCCTCTGCGATGGGCTCGTCATGCACTTCCTGCTCAAACTCATCGTCTTCCACCTTGAGCTTGTTTATTCCCACCTCTCCGTAACGGTCGTCACGGAAATGGCGTCCCTGCCGACAGCACTAGTTCGTCGCAACAGAAGATACAAACCGCTGCCCGTCCACAGCAAGAAGTTCCTACGGATAGCGATGCGGATGGGCCACCATCAGCTTAAAGCGGCAAAGTCATGAAACTGGGCTGAAGCTTCCACGGGCTTGTACCGGGGACAGTAGAACAGAACCCTCTTCCTCGCGTTCGCACCAAGTCTCCTCCACGTCTTGAGATCATATGACTGCAGATACGCGAGATAAGTAATATTCCATTCTGGCCAGTTCTCTGCAGATATTTCCGGAAGCTGCCGGCAGACTCACTGACATTATCGACACGGTACGACCGCATGTGCTGTTCCAGCGGGCGGCAGTTGACGTACACGACCATCCGAGTCCCTTCCTGCAGAGGAATGTCGAGCAGCAAGTGTGGAATTTCCTGCGCTGGATAGTCTGTCGCATATCAGGCCTACCCTGATCGTACCTCATGTGGGGTACTGCAGCAGCTGCCTGCCAGGCAGCTGCTACTGCCTAAACTATCAAAGGTTTCTTTTGTGTATAAAGAGCTGCACGGTTCCCGTGCAGTTCCTAATTGGCGGCAGTTGACGTACACGACCATCCGAGTCCCTTCCTGCAGAGGAATGTCGAGCAGCAAGTGTGGAATTTCCTGCGCTGGATAGTCTCTATCTCCACAATCAGCTCATCCATAAGGCGAGAGGGGAAGGACCGTAGGTGTTGGTAGTATGCCGTATGCGACAAAACCCAATGTACCAGTCTGCAGTAAGCCTCCGACTTTTCCTCCGATTTGCTGCAATACTTGGCAGCGTATGTGATGACCTCTTGTAAGCTAGTGCATGGAGATATGCCAATATTGATCAACCATCCCAAATTGATGGCATGATTGAAGTGGTACATGAAGCTGTCGTTGCGGGTGGCCTCGAAGATGTAGCATGACACGCAAGCAGTACGTGGTATTGCAACTATGGCACTGGTAGCGATTGACGCTTTGCAAGGGACACAGGACTGTGATCTCCACGCCCAGCAGATTTACACTCAGCGGATCACCTTCCGCCTAAGACACAGCCCCACAGGGCTCTGGGTTGACAGCCCCACGTGCGAGCAAACATATCACGAGCGGCTTCGGCCTCCATGTCGGCGGCTGGATACGTGGTCCGAGACAGTTGACGCACTGTTCGGCAGCAGTGCAGCCATCGCTGGTGTGATCAGTATTTCCACAGAGTTTACATCTTGTTTGTCTGTTGTGTTGCGTATGGTAATTCCAGCCCTTCTCACACTAGTGGTCAACCTAGCTGAGAGGCTTTGAGTGGTGAGTATGGTGTTGAATTCGCATTGGGCCGTGTTTAGCATAGTCAAGGTGAATATTATTTCCAAGCAGTAGACAGCAAGATGATTGAATAGATTCTGTTGATAAGAAATATGTATGTGGACAATTGAATGTAGCTGGAAGACGTCTTACTGACTCAAGCACCCAGATCAACGATTGCCACAGAAGATGCCACACCGTACACGGGAGTTCCTGCTTGCGATTACCGAGCTTGTAGACTGGGCCACGGCACGGCATTGCCTCTTGCGTATAATGCCCGCGGTTGCCAAACACTTAGCAGAAGGTATCCACCAAGCTTCAGCCGTGAGAGTATCCAGTGGATTCATGCACGATGCTAAAGCCAGTATCAGAGTGTGGGTTATGGGCTGTTGGCGCGGCACAGGCTGTCTAATGCCTCGGACTAATTATTCTTCAAAGCAATGGTTAACACTGTAACTTACGTGGATGAAAATTAATTTACGTATAAATCCAGTATAAAATGATGCCAGTGCCCTTGGGTAAGATATCCTTTTCTTATACGCCACTCACTTGAGCATACCGTACACTTGCCCTACTCAATCCAAATCAAGACACTATCCATCACAATGCAGTGCTATATTATAGCGTTACTTGTCACTGTCGTACTTGGTAGCCCCCAGGGATACCCCTCATTCGGTAGTCCACTATGGGAGAATCCTACTCTGCAAAACTGCGCTTGGCCGGGTGTAAGTGACGCTACATATAAAACAGTTGCAGTTGATGCTAAACGAGATATCAATTGTATAGGATTCTTGTAGTCCGCATGTACGTACCAGACAACTTCTTATAGTACATCAACAAGATTACGGGTTCTGATGTATTATCTAGGCCTCCAATTGCTGCCATGGTCACTGTTGTGACCTTCCCTCTGGAAATGGTGCTGTCTGTGGCGGAAATGTAAGGTATTACCTAAATATTAAATAAGGCATGGGCCAGCTAACAGATCCCTGGAAGTGTTGAAATACAATTTCTTTGGCCAAAAGCTTTGTTCAGGAACTCATCATTTGTGACGCAAAAAGAGCACCAGCGTGGAGTGAACGAGCATTGACTAATACTGGCCCAGTTTCTATAAAGGAGCTTATAAAAATAGAAAATGCCTAGCGGTTTGTCTGGATATTAGGCTTGGTACAATTATATTGATAAATGCACTATTCGCTCTGTTTTCTTTTCTTAGCATACTTCTATTGGTAAATTTGTTATCCTGTTTGCTTCAACTTTTCGTGTGAAGGCTTCAAGTGTGTATGCTGGTCTTCTCGCCCTGTTTCTGTGATCAAGGTGTCCTTCCAACCAACTAAGTGTGTATGCTGGTCTTCTCGCTCTGTTTCTGTGATACAGGAAACAGTTTCCTTTCCATGTCTCTTCAATCCAGGAAGAGCATGGTGCATTGTTCAATAGTTGTAAGTTCCATTGAGAATAAATCCCTGAAACCTGAACTCAGGAGTGGCTCAAGGCATTTGCGGACATGGAGAAGGAGACTGCCAACTAGTTACAACTCCTGTGCCGAAATCTACGGGTAAGAAAACTTTTTGGGAGAGAAATTTTCGTTCACAGGGGTTTATACCATTCTTTTGCCAGCCCATGACGATGGGCAGGCGGGTGGGGAGTCTTTCTTCATGGAGGTTTCCAGCAAGCTTGCGCAAATTGCAAGATCAGGGGCAAACTACTCCAAAGCCACACAAAGCCACTTGTAGCTAGACTTTCACAACAATGCATGGTTTTCCATGTTCCAATACGCTGCTGCAGCTGGAAAATCACAGGCAGAGTCTCTTACTTGAGAACTTCCATTGTCATTGGCATTTGAAACATGGTGGCGGCTGGAACCAGGACGACCGACAAACCAAACCCCACAGATACTCACTCAACCAGCGACGAGCACACGCCACGAGCCGTGTGGAATCGAGAAAGTTCAGGGTGGACGAAGAGCTCCTAGTACATATTGCAAATGCCACACATTTGTTCATATAACGACTTCGAAAGCGTGCCTACAAAGGTTCATTGGGCCGCCTCCGCCAACGGCCGAGGCGTCGGGGCCGAAGGCCAAGGTATCTCACTGGCACAATTTTTATATTGGCCCAATTGCGGCTTCGGCCGATCTTATGGCGGGTGATTCGAATGGCAAGGTATGGGACTCCGTCTATTGCTAGGGACAAATTGCTGTCAGAAATACGATGGTACTACAGTATCACGGAGAGAATTCTCATGTATGTTCAAAAGATTGTTGTTCAGTTTATTATCCAGGACGGGAATCCTCCCAGACTAAAATGACTTTTGTAATGTTGCTACCCGCAACGGGCAGCAGCATTGCTACCCAAGCATCAGGTGCAAGCTGTGCACAGTGCGGTGTATCAACCTGCAACTCCACAATCTGACAATTTACCACCACTTGGCAGTTGCAATTCCACGAATGACGTTCGACCCGCAATGGACATCACCATAATTTTTGTAGTGCGTGAACCAGTCATCTATGTAGCGAACAGTGTAATTGGCCTGGGCGTAGGCCGCGGTCACTGCCGCGGCTAGCACATCCTGGCCCTGGATAACTGGTCCCCATGGGTTAGGGGCGAGAACTTGCCTATTGCCCAGAACAACACTATTAATAGTGGCGGGGTAGAGGGATGTGGCAGGTCCATTGCCTTTTTCTTGACGGGCCCTCAGCTCCCTCACTATTACATTGGCTGGTTGCTGCTTCAAGTATTCGGGCGGTGTGGCAGCCTCAATAGCGTTAAGCCCTTTGCTGACATCTTGCTCAGAATCATTCGCTGGCTGTTGTTCCTGCTGCTCTGTAATATCCTGGTCGCGCACTTGATTGTGGATCTGGTGGCGCTGTTTCTCATCATCCAATGGCCGAATCTCGCTGAAAGGTTGATTCGTTTCCGCATCAGTGACATGCGTGTCATGTGAATATTGCCAAATCTCGCTTTTGTGAACCTGATACAGAGAAGGAATGCGAATGATTTCTGCATCGTCAATACCTGTTTCTCGCTTGATTATATCGATATTTTTCTCAATATTGGAAGCGCAAGCATCCTGGAAGCTGGCAAACATGGGAGTATTTAGCACATCATTGATACTAGTTGCAATACGCCAATTTGGCGGGTCATTAGGCGACCGTGGGCGAGAGACAGCCATTTCGTTGCCGTGACCGTCCTGCTGAGCCTTCTGGAGTATCTCAAGGCCTGCATGCGGGTCAGCCACTGTCATGACCCAGCCGCGCTCACTTTCAACGGGAAGAAATTGAATAAATTCGTCCATGTGCTGGGCAGCAAGCCATGACGTGTCGAGCTCAATCGGGGCCTGCGTCTCCTGAGCCTCTAAGAAGGCCATCATGTACGGTTTCCTCCCGTCCAGGGACCCCATTACAGCTCGTCCCGCAGCATACGACTTGCCATTGTGCGTGTATGGGGGGATAGTCTCCAGATTACCTGTGGAGTCAGTTTGAGAGCCGTAATCCAGGTGCTGGACAGCTCCTACTGTATTGGACCTCAAGTCTTGGAATATCTTGCGTCCGGTATCGCGGTAGTCTTGAGCAGATCTTATCATGATATGTATTCCAATGGGGCCGTCGGTTCCTGGAATGCTCATGTAGCCGGGCTCGAAAAAGTCTTGAGCCCAAATGTCATTATCGCATCCAGAAGTGTCGAAGACATGGAGGGGCGTCTTTAATCCCGCTTTGGCAGACATTTCTCTGAGATCCTTGATAAAGCGGTCCTGTCCAGTGCTCCTTTTATCAGTTGCTGTGAGCAGTTGCTCCGCAGGCTGACCATGATGTTGCGTCAAGACAGGCGCAACGCGAAGTGCTACCCAGTCCCTGGCCTCCTTCTCCCCATCTCTCACCATAAACTCCACGATCACTCTGCCATCCCACCCTCCTGGACGGCGAACATCACGCGCGTCAATGCCAAGCTCTAGACCAGTCTTGAGATCCTCGGCCTTAAAAGTATAGTTTGACGAGATGAAAGTCCATTGACCGGATGCCTTATGGAAGAGACGGACTTTAGAGGCGGCGGTGTCGTTAGCCACGGTGATGGAACCTATGGCTAGGTCGCTAAGTCCTGGATTTGGCGTGGTTCTAAGTGGTGCAAGATAGGTTGAGTTGCGTAGAACATCATCGGAAGAATCATGGCATTCAGATATGCGTTTATTCACCGCCCTATCTCTAATGGCCATCTGATATTCTTGATTCTTCTTCCACCACTCACTGAGAGCCCTGTCACTTTCGCTCAGGCCATCGGACCCTTTCTCCGCAGAAGTAGCATCGGCTAGCTTCTCAAGAATTCTGTTGAGGTCCGGCTTTTCAGGCAACGAGGTTCCAAGAAAGAAAACATCGCCTAGCTCGCTTGCGCATGAGCCGGTGATCTGGGACGAGCATCGGCGATTTGTATCAACAATATTGGCCAGGAAGAGCGCGCCGAACTCTGCTGTCCATGTTTCTTTGCTCGCGAGGTCGGTGTCTCCTGTTATGTCTACCTTGCCGTCACGATTGGAGTCCGCTAGGATGGTTACTCTAAAGTCGTCGATGTTTGCATGTGTAGCGGCGGTCGTTCGCGGTGGAGGAATACGGACCTTGGTGTTGTTTGTCCTGCCTCCTGCTGCCTTAGTACTAAGTTTTCGGCGTGGACCATCATCCTCTGGGTTATGAAGAGGCCCGTCGTCTTTGGGATCGTAGACCGGCCAATCATCCGTCAGGTTGTAGGCGGGTCCATGGTCTTTAGAATTGTAAGATGGCACATCCCAATTAGCATCTCCAGTCTCTGCCCGATTCGCAGACTGGCCCCGAGGTACTGCGCCAGTGAGGGGCAACGCGGCTACGAGAAAGGCAACGTGCATGTTGCCTAGGGAGAACAAGGGCTGCCTGATGTGGAAGACAGAGGTTGGAGATTTAACGATTCATGTGAGTGCTCAAACTGGGTTGAAGTGCCATTCTACAGGTTGCGAGGCTCGAATGTATTTATACCATTTTCTCTTGTAGAAATTCGCAGGTTCTTGAGAAACGGCACACGGGATAATTACTTGGCATAGCTTGGCTAAATCTTGAATTCATGCACACTGCCACATCGCATGATCCGGCTGTTGCGGCTACTTTTCTTTCATGGGATTCACATCATTCGATAAATCTGCATCTGTTCATTAAATAAGCAGACTTGGTGTAATTGCTGGATGCCATAAAGTCGTAGGTAGGAAGTTTGGAAAGCTTAGCAGCCACTCTACTTTATCAAAGAGGCTTGAAAGGATATTCGGAGGAAGGTGAATGGCATAAAACCTTCTGGCTGGAGTACAGTAGAATAAAAAAAATATGAACATGACGCAGTACCTCTGGTGCTCCAGTACAACAGAGCTAACGATAAATCCTAAGGTGACACATCCCAGTACCATGTCATTGACATGTGCGAGGTAGCCATGATTAAGCCTTAATTTTTTTTTAACTCCACAACTATCTTAAAGAACTGGCGCATGACTGACTTGTTTACTTTTCGTTCATTGTTCTATGAGGCCATGAAAATTTGAGTACGCGCAACATAGTAGAGGTCATATAATTGGCATTTAATGTCGGGTCTACGGAGTAATGGGGCAGGGTCTGGGTTCGGGGGCCGTGGCAGCCTCCTAGACCACTGGAAGTTCTCTTATGAGCTATCTAGTTGCTTTACGCAGTACGCAAATACGTCGTTAAAATCACGATAAATTACTTGGTTGACAATGGAGGTGATTGGTACGTTATTGAAATATATTGACTAAAGCGATGAAAATTGTCGTACATACGTCACACTAACACATCCCTCGATACTGGATTCTGACTACGCCTACTACAGTGTAACTACCCTTACTCCTCTAATATCCAGCGCACATGCACTTGGCCGCTGTATTATGCAAAGACGTACGAGATTACGAGCCTCGCCAGATCCACTTAGACGTGGCATTCTCTTCGACTGTTGTTCGAGATTTGCTACTAAACGAGTAAGTCTGGAAAGAGCTACGTATGACTCGTAGGCCCATACGACTGTTGCATAACGTAGAGGATGTATCTATCATGCTCGAATACATAATGACATGATCTGACGAAGCCATATACCTGTAGATTTCGTAATATTGCACCCTTATGCGTCCATCCTTCAATTTAACTATGAGAAGGTTTTCATTCAATTACCGAGCTGATAGGTCTCACGCTCCAAGCCAGCTCATAATGCTGGTTGTATTAACATGAGTCATGCCAGCTATGCATGGAAAATACCATTATAATTACCAACTGTACCAGGCTGGGCCCGGTGTGGCTCGGTTTGCACTCTCGCCGTCGGCCGGGATCCACCGACAAGCGAGATTACCGGCGCGTCGAGCTCAGGAGCTCAAGAAATCCTTGAGCGCTCCTTTCCTTGTTCTCTTTTCTTTTTTTTCTTTAGAGTTTAGATACTCGTAGTAGACGCCTAGCTAGTTGTCAATATACTCAGCTTGGACCGCTACACCAACGTAGGACTGCTACCAAAGCCTGTAGTCCCACCTATCACTTGCAAGAGCACTACTAAGTAAAAGAATTTGGCTCTCTTGTTGTTTCGCATTACATGAACCACATCAAATACTATTTACCTGATAAACTGCGAGACTGTTAAGGTAGCAGATGGAAACGAAAAGAAAATGACATCAAGGAAAGATGAAACAAAGCCAAACATCATGCGGCTCCAAATCGGCTACTTTCCACTATCAGAGCTCATGCAAGAACACTAACTTAATATCCACACAGGTTGCTGTTGATATGATGGAGGGCCTCGATATATCCGACCGACGTAGAGTGGACTGCGTCTTGGCTTGCCGGCTAGACTGAACTGCGTGTCTAACCAAAAAGCCAAGTGCTAAAAGAGGACGATACCTGTGACAGGAACCCATCGCGTGAACACATAATATGTGAAGAGACTATAGGGTTAGAATCTTCCAAGTACTGGAGTCGTGATGAACATGATGCAATATTACGAACAGGGGGGCCGCCTACGCCTTCCATACATAGCCTATCTTGGTGGGATCTTGCCACATTGTGGCGTTGTGAGTTGATACATCGCACTGTGCACATCCAGCAGCCTTAAAAGAGGTCTTCCAATCTGGGAGGATTCCAGTCCTGAAGAATCAACCCACTCGCAATTTTTAAAAACCATGCAGCAGATTTCTCTCCGTGATACAGTAGTACCATCGTATTGTGGACCCATATCTAGGTCGTAGAACTAACGAACTCTTTCATCTTTTAGATTGTGTCTCACATGCTGTGACGTTCAACACTACCGACCACTTTCCTCCTTGTCTTACTGGACTCGGTTGCATAGTTGCGCCACCACACCATAATGCATGCCAAGACACCAATACAGTTTAACTTTATTTTAGGCCGTAGCCCAAGGGACAGATCAGGTTTTTGTAGTACAAATGCTTGAACGATTGTCATGGAGCTACACCTGACGCTGTGGACCCATTGTCATACCAAACAGCCAATTTGGAACATTAGTGCCAGTATTTTAAGGTCGGTAGGAAGCCCGATTCGTCACCAGAGAAAATTCTTCAGCATTCCATTTTTAGTGACCTTCTTCCACGACAGTATCCACACCATACTCTGACACATTTGTGTGTTATGTGTGTTGCATAAGGATTCTTCTAGTGTACATGACAATGCCAAACCGCCAATATAGTTGAACTTTATTTTAGGCCATAGTTTAAGGCTAAATGCCTTGAAGATTGCTATGACAGATGCTATGGACCCATTGTTATACCAGACAACCCATTTTGAATATTCCTGTCGGTATTCCTGTAAGGGAACAGCCCCACTTTAGAACTTAGGTAGCTCGAGTCAGAGCTTCCAAAGGAAACTCTTACTCTCTTTGTGAACAATCGCTTTATCCAAGTCGCACTAGACCTCGCTCGTGCTCTTAGACCCTGACAAAATGGATGTACCAAGACACTTTCTTCGATGATGTAAAGAAACCCGTTTGTTTGCTTCCCTGGAACGGAAAATTTGTTTTTCGGTTCAAGAACCACTGGCTTTCATATCAGACCCAGTTGCTAGATGTCGGTCTACACAAAGAGGAGATGATATCTATTACGTGCTTGGGCAGATCTGGTAAGGTGCTCAAAGACCTTGTTATGGAATGTCGAAAGCAGTACCTGAAACAAATCGAGAACAAGACCACCGTATTTGAGAATCGCGGTGCATACTGGGAGAAGGTGGTGACAAAAGATGTGAGACCCCTGTCGACAATCATCATCGACGAGGACCAGAAACATCACTTGGTCAACGACGTGAAGCAATTTCTCAACTCGGACACTCGCTTATGGTACGCCGAGCGAAAGATTCCTTACCGAAAAGGCTATCTATTGTATGGTCCTCCTGGCACAGGAAAATCAAGCTTTTGCGTCTCCGTGGCCGGAGAACTCGACGTCGACATCTACACAGTCAGCATCCCCAGTGTCAATGATAAGACATTGCAAGATCTGTTTGCCAAACTTCCACCAAAGTGTTTAGTCTTACTGGAGGATATAGACGCTATTGGTGGGAGTCGGTCACAGGAAACCGAAGAGATTGATGGCGAAACTTCGGGATCCAAAAAGACGGTTACGTTATCTGGGCTTTTGAATACCCTTGACGGGGTGGCTTCTCAGGAGGGTCGAATCCTCATCATGACTACGAATCATAAAGAGAGGCTGGATCAAGCGCTTATTAGACCAGGTCGCGTTGACGAGAAGGCTGAATTCCCCCTTGCCGACGCAAAGATGATAATCTAGCTTTTCGAATTCATTTTCAAGTCTTCTGTTGCTAGACAGGAAAGACCTGAGACAAAAGCGGATTGGGAAGCAAGTCAGCTGGCCACGGAATTCGCCAATAAGTTACCAGAGCGAACATTTAGCCCCGCAGAAATCATGCGATACCTTTTGCAGTACAGGCGGTCGCCTTCAACTGCGGTAAAGGAAGCTGAGAAATGGGTTGAAAGGGCACTACGCGAAAAGGGACAGGCTGGACAACAGAGCTTGCAATAATACATACATATGGAATATAACCTCTATTCATATGTATTCATAAGCAAGGCTCGGAACCACTACATCC